CAAAAGCCGAAATTAGTGCACTGGTCCTCACAGTGCTCACAGTTTTCTTCCAATTTTTGGATTTCACAGTCTTATATTCATTCGTTTGGAGGTAGTTTGAATTATCCTGGACCGTATTTACTTCCTTTTAACTGTTTTGTGTACGCCTGGTTTTATTTTTTAAATCGAGTGCTGTCCTAAGTTGGAAATTGCCGTCCTTGTCAGGCATCTTCGTTCCGTCTCTTTATATGAGGCTCTATTCTTTTCGACGGTCGTTCTTCCTTCTTAATTCCTTTGTGTTCGGGAGCTTTTCATACCTTCCTGTTTTTTTAGTTGTGTAATGTCGATAGACGATTACCTTCAAAGATACCGTTAGGACTTGCTAGCAAGTTTATCTGAGTTGTGGAACTAGAACAGCGAGGTTATCCCTCTTAATGTAGCGTTTTCTAACTTGTGCACGAACACGATTTGGAGTGCATCTTCCGCTTACCGGAATAAATCTGTAGGTCTGCTGACGTTTCCGACAGCTGGGCCGGCTGTCGTTTGACGAAGCGAATACTGACTTTATCGATCAGCAAGTTTAAAGATGCGGCTGTATGTGCTGGGCTTGGGCTGATCGGTTTTTCTCTGTTCGCTGTTTGACCTTGCGTATGGATTTTGGTTTGGCGTGACGGCAGAAAGTGTTCTGTCTCGTTCCCACGGTGGAAGATACTCTCTCTGCTCTCTCTTCCGGTGGTTTCGTCAAGGGAATGTCTTCGTCTGTAAATCCTGACTTCGGTTTGACCGTGTCCTGTCCTTTACTTACGTAATGTCGTAGGCCTTTGTAGGCCGTAGGAAGGTCCAAGTGTTTGTTGACAGAGTTGGCGTCTGAGTGCCATGCGTCCAGCGTCCATCTTTCAGTTTTGGGGCTCCTCGCCAACGATGGTCGTTCCTTGAATATCGAAATTGTGGCCAGTCTCTGTGAAATGTATTGCAAGCTGCGAGTTAGGATCTAGTCTCCGGGCCGCCGCTCTGTGTTCCCGTAGGCGGGTCTGCAATTTGCGTCCTGTTACTCCAACGAAATTTCAGTCTCCATCGTTACAACATATTTTGTAAATAACTGCAGAGGTTTCAGTAGGGAGCAGTCTGTTTTTAGGTTGTATCACTCGGCGGCGTATTGCCGCCTGAGGTCGATGGGCTATGCCTACTCCAGCGCGTTGTAACAGTCGGGAGACTGCTTCGGAGACTCCTTTTATGCAGGAAATGGCCCTTCAGACTTCTTGTTGCTGTTTTGTTGTCCGTCGCCCATTTCACTCGGCGCTTGCTTTGGTTAATAAAAGAATTCAGGTGTCCATTAACTCGAAAGATGTCACGTAGGTATTGGAAAAGAGTACGAACACAGCTACGTTTGTGAGATAGAGGGTGGTTGCTGTTGAAGTGTAGCACTTGGTTCGTGTCGGTGGCCTTTCTGAATACTGTGGTTTGCAGTAGTCCAGTTGAACACCGTCGCACCAGGACATCCAGGAAGGGAAGTTTGTGATTTATTTCCGTTGTCGTTGAGCCTACTGCCAGGAACTTCAGAAGAGCAAACATCCGTTTTGCCAAACCGTATGTAGAGTGCCACGAAGGGAAATTATTGGTCTAAGTGGTATGTTTTCTTTCTGTACTTTCGGCAGACCGTAAAAGCGTGCTGGGGCTGTCTGTTGGTTTCATGAAAAACCAATCGGAGGGGGCGTTATTGCACGGTCTGCTTTGAGATTTGCCAGACTTTTGTTCATGGGAGCAAGCAGATGTTTCATTTCACTGGTTGGACATGTCTTATACGATTGTTGATCGTCAAGTAGGCTCTGGGATTTCTTTTGGTAATCAGACTTGTTGAGCACCACTATCGAAAGATCTTTTTCAGCCGGCAGGATAATTATGTCTTCATCCGCTCTTCATGCTCTCTGTTTTTCTCGGCCTAGAGTTTCACATCGTTTGTTTTACATAAGCGGCGATGATGTTTTATGGCGAGTTAATTCTTCTGTTTCCTCTAAGGCCTTTGTTGATTGAAGAACTGACTCAAATGCGGCAATGAATTCGGTGGGTGAAGCGTCTGCTGTGCTGAAAGTTGCTCAACGCTCTAAAACTGCAAGTTGTGTGCTGGTGAGAGGTTTGGAGGGAAGGTTATAGACGAGGTCGTCCGGAGGGTCCGATGTTTAGGGCGGTTGCAGTTTGAATATGAATATCTCCATGTCTTCAAGAGAGTTTATGTTTCAGCAATCATCCTCTACTTTCTCCACACCATCTCCTAGATACGATCGTCGTCTTGTAGCCTATGATGCCTCTGGCGCCGTGGGTAACGACTTGGTTGTTGTCAGAGTGAGACACAGAGCTCATCTGGCAGGCATAAACTGTCTGGCTGGCATCAAAGTGGACAAGGATACCTGTCTGCTGGCTACTGGGGGATTCGACAGTTACATCAAAGTCTGGAATGATGACCTCACTCTCTTCTACCGGCTTCACGATGTTCCCGAACTAAAAACAGGTAAAGGCAGTGATGGGATTCTCGTTACGACATCAGTTTGTTTGGGTCCCAAATAGCAGTACGTAAGAAGGCTATCTAAGAACAACGTCGATAACTGGACTGCGAGATTCTGATCACAGATCCCTGGTTGCAGAAAGTCTCCTCTGGGATGTTAGTTTCAGTGAAGTCGGTTTATGTTTTCAAGGTTGCTTCATCGCAGTGCTGCTTTACCTCAACTTGCATGTGGTCATGTCTACAAATGCCAAGAATTATGATACCTTTACCCCTTTCAACAAAAAGTATATTTTATGAGATTCACGCACTTCCTATTAGAACATTTATTTCCCTTAATTTCTCCCTTCATGTTTATCTATATATCTCCTTGAGAGTTCTTATTTTATTCGGCCTATTTTTTTACTGATACTGAACAGTTTGTTATGTAAGCTGTAGTGATTCCCCTAGACATTTTTTGGATACGAATAACATCATCTCCGGTACTTCGGTGCAAGACAACCTGTAATTCATTTTGCACTTTATTCAAACTACTGTATATGTACTCAAACATTCGTAATCTTTAAGTACTCTACGTGAACGTTTATACGGCTCATAAGCCTTCCTGGAGTATAAGGTGTCTGCACTGTTCTCTGCCTGACAAGAATAACGCCTTTTAAAGTCCATATAAATGCAAAATTTCAGACAGACATCCATGGCGAAATGTTGTAAAGAAGAACCGGGAGGATTGGCGGTATATTTCTGTTGTAAGTTAGGTATGAAACAGGTTGCCATAGTTTAAACGCAATACCTCTTACGTGCACACCCAAGCCAAATAAGTTGGCACCTTAAAGCGTCAAAGTGTTGGAGATGTGTGTGCGTGTGTGTGCGTTTGTGTATATTCCTATCCCAACTGCAAGAAGTCTGAGCCAGGATTTGATAATCTAGGGGAGAGAACAGTAGTCTGCTATTAACTCAACTAATCAGCGATAAAGTGCGCTGGTGAATAATAAAAAGACACGACTTTCCAGTTCATTTCGTTAAAAGGACTGTTGTACTATATCACAAGATCTCCAGCTCCGACTTTGCCACTATTTTTGTAACTTTCAGACCTCGTTTTTGTTCCGAGATCGTCTCAGCTGTGGGTTTGCTTTGGCTCCAACCGTACTCGTGTCTTCGATGTGAAAAATGGTGAGGAGGTAAGAACATACACCTAACGGAAATAATTATAGACCTCCGTCGTTTAAATCATGCAAACCGTTTGATAGCATAATAATGGAAAGGCATGAATAACTATGTCGCAAATTTTTTTCATAAGCGCGAGAAATTCAGTTTCCTAGATATTACTTTACATTTTATGTCTTATAGCTAACTACGCGCTTTACTTAAGCACCTGCCCGCTTCATATATATTTGGTCATATATGTATATATCGATTGACCCAATCGGGAAGAATTCGCGGCTTTTTTGGGAAAGGCTTTTGCGCAGCCAATGCTCTACCATTAAGCTACGAGGCTTACCGTGCGCCTCATGCACTGTGGCGTGGAACAGACGGAAAAAAGGGAGATCACAACGGCCTTTTCTGGCTTCTTAACCGTCCTCAGCCAGTCACACCCAATCTCAAGGGTCGGAACTCCAGAGAATCGACCCCAGAACCCCTGGTCATTGAGTTTACCACTCTACCTTTGCACCACGAGCTCGGTTGCGATGGGAAATATGGTGGAACTGGTGTGTTCATCCGATCTATCCGATCAGGACACAATGAGACTAGTATATTCCCCAATCAGATAGATGGGATGAACAACCCAGAACAACCCAGTCATGCTGTTGCGACAGGTGATCACCAAACGGGCCAGAGATCTACGGATG